GGGAGTCTGGTCGCCGCTGTGCGGGCCACACCCTGGGCCGGCCGCGGGCCTCCAGGCCGCGAAGCAGAAGGGCTCGGGATGAGGCCAGAAAATCCACCCCGATACTATCGGCTAGACGTAAGAGTGACCCTGGATAAGAGTGACCTTTGGTGCGCAGCTTTTGGGGGCGCGAGGGAGCCCAACCCAAGGGCGTGCGCCGCTTATATCGCATCGTGCTCGGCGTTCGGGGGGAGCCCGATGAGCCTGCACCAAAGGTCACTCCGGCGAAGGGTCACTCTCATGTGTAGTCGATAATAAGCACCCCGACACGCGAAGTCGTTTAGTAGACGCGCCCAAAGAAGGAATCGAACAGGGCAGGGCAGTAAACGCCCAGGGGCCGTTTAGTGAACGCCAATTGTCCGGTCCGGGTGGGCTTTCCTTCCTTGCGAGTTCACGCTGGGGAAAGCTCCTGGGTCCACGGTCGGGAACTGCTGCTCCGCGTGTCGCCGCGGCGGCCCCGGCGATACGCTGTGCCATGCGAGCGGACAGCGTGTCGCATCGCTCCGCGGGGGGGCGGGAGGCCGGGACGAGCTCGGGACGTTGACGCCCGGGGAACCCGCGGCAAGTGGATAGCGCGCCGCGTCGAAGCGCGGTGGGCCAGAAGCGGCGGAGCGACGCGCTGAGCCAGAGATCCTGGCCGCTCTCCCTCCTGTCGATCACCCCGCGGCGCCGGGGCAGGTTTTGTCAGGCGGCGGACGTTTTCGGAGCCCCTGCAGGGGGCCCAAAGGTAATCATCCATGTCCGCTGCCTCCTGGGACCCTGGGACATCGGATTCCCCAGGCGGTCGATATGTACAAGTTGCGGCCTCGGACGGGAGGGACAAAAACGTACGCCAAGGGGAATCGCAGACGTCTCTGTTCCAGCCACCATGTCCGCCGAAATCTGGCCTGTTGGCGTTCCGAAGTGGCCTTGATGCTACCTACCCGAGGTACTAGGGACAGGCGGTTTTCGAAACCTCCCACTTCTTCGCGTAATCCTCCTCCCCAGGGGTCCAAGAAGGGGGTGTTTCTTTGTTGTGTGTCAGTGTGAGTTCCTGATCCTTTTCGAAAGCCTGGCAGCGGATGGATTCGCCGGTCGACGCCAGAGTTGTTTGACGAGGGGCAGGCGGAAACCTTCAAAGTGCGAAGGCTTTGCCCACGGCGGTCCACGACCGAGGACTTTGCGACGCCTCTGGCAACTTGCTGACAAACCTCCGGGAGCCGCCGGGGACCTCTGGGGACCTCAGGGGGCAAGATCTAGGGCGGCACTAACACTTGCAAGGAGTACGTGTTGGAACACTTGAGGTGGATCGGAGAACTTCGGAGGCTGCCAGGTGAGCTGAAATTGTTGTGGGCTGTCGTTGCCCCGATTACTCTTTAACAAAAACGAATTTGCTCGGCGGCCCCATGACCCTTGGCAGGAGGAGGATTGTGCATCGCCGCAGACGGGACCAACGTTCTAGACTTGTGCGAGCAGCTCGTTCGGCGCCCCTTGGGCGGTCCCGAACGCTTTGAAGACTGGTCAGCCGAATGCCCCACCCAACAAAAACAAAACATCTAAGGTATATGTTATGCGTTCTGACGGCATCTTGGAGCTGCTCCTTGGGACGTCATCCGGCGTCTGGTGGGCGTCGGGGCCGCTAGGGGCTCTCGCGAGGCCGCTTGGCGACCCTGCGGACCGCTTTGGGCCCGCTGGCGAGGCCCGGCAGAGAAGTCCAGGAGGCCCGAAAGGCCTGGAGAACCCCCTGCAAGAGCGTCCGAGGGGGCCCCCGGGCCAGCGATCCGCAAGGTCCGTTTGCCTTCGGGGGTTCTACCGTTTCGTATCTGAACATTGTATGATTCGCGAGATATGCGGGCACATGCCTACATACATACATATATATATATATATATGTGTATATATATATGTATACATATGTAAAACACATAAGTTATACATTAATATATAATGTATGTAAACATGCATGTGTATGTACATCTGTGTGTAGTGTGTATATATATACACATGTGTAACGCGCATGTGCAGGGAGGGAGAGAGAGAGAGAGACAGGGAGATACGGTACATATCTACATGTGTATCTAAACATGTCTTCATATAAATGGAGAGGAGCAACAGAGAGAGAGAGAGAAAGGACATAACAACAACATAAAGAGAGAGAGAGAGAGAGACAGGGAGGGAGAACGAGACAGATGGAGAGAACAACAGAGAGGGAGAGAGAGAGAGAGAGATAACCACAAAAACGGAGCGAGAGAGAGAGGGAGAGGGAGAGAGAGAGAGAGAGAGAGAGAAAGAGATACAGAGAGGGAGAGGGAGCAAACGGGGCACAGAGAGAAAGAGAGAGCGACGCCCCGACGGCTGGCTGGCGGGCGGCGGCGGGCGGCGCCGACAGCGGCGGCGTGCGCGGCGCCGCGCGCGGGCGGCGGCGCGCAGAGGGCGCGGCGGCCTCCGCGGCCGAGCCCCAGGCCGTCCTCTGCGAGGCCGCCTCGGTGTCGCCGCCGTCGCCCGCCGCCGCTGCTCGTCGCCGTCGCCGCCGCCGTCGGGGGTCGGCGTCGGCGTCGGCGTCGCCGTCGGCGTCGCCCTCGCCGTCGTCGCCGCCGTCGGGGGTCGGCGTCGGCCATGTCGTCGGCGTCGGCGTCGGCGTCGGCTTCGGCATCGTCGTCGTCGTGGTCGTCGTCGTCGTCGTCGGCGTCGGCGGCGTCGTCGTTGTGCTTGTCGTGGTCGTCGCCGTCGTGGTCATCGTGATGGTGGTCGTTGTCAACTCTGCCGTCGTGGTCGTCTGGCGGGGAGGTGGAGGAGTGGGACAAGGGGGGGATGAGTGGGAGGAGGAAGGGGAGGTGGAGGAGGTGTAGGGAGGGGGAGGGGGAGGAATGGTGGGCAGGAGCAGGGGGCCGGGGGAATGGAGAAGTGGAAGGAGGGGAAGGAGCTCGCTCGCTCAACGTCGGTATCAGACAGCTCCGCTCGCATGGGGAGGCGGAGGGTCGGGTGTTGCTAGAAGTGTCCCTGGCCCAAGGTGCCCCAAAGATTTCCAAGGAGGCCCTCACGGCCTCCAGATCACCCCTCACGAGGCCCAGAGGGCCCCCAAAGGCTCCAAAATGGAGCGGAAAGCTGGGGGCACCTTGGGCCTGGGGCACCTTTGAGAACCCCCAAGAGGGGGGATGAAGAGAAACACACCAAACTCCCAGCATACGCCCTTGGCGCTGCAATGCGCACTGCCCCGTCGCGAAGCCTTCTCCTCACAGGCAATACAGATACCTATACGACCGCCCTTTGGGTGATAAGACGGTTGGGGGATGCGGGGGAGAACCAATTGCTGGCAAATGCGATGGGTGTGATGATGACGATGCTGGTGACGCGCTCTCGAGTTAGCGACGACGCGTGATGACGATGTTGCGCAGCGATGTAAGGCCACCATCGTCCCCGCATTCGATCTCACTCGATCGATCCCAGTATCGACCTCATGGCCAGGCTGAGTACCATCAGATTCAGCGATCGATCCCATAGTGTTTGCCCCAAGGGGGATCGCCGATCCCCGCGAGATCTGCACGACCCAGGAGACGTCGCGTCCCTGCTCATCCGAGAATGGAGCACGACCAATGTCACAATCAAGCTCACTGCCGGTTTCGCTTTTGATATCACCATCCATCCCGTCCTAGCGATCTGATGATCGATCTCACTATCGACTCCACCGTCGATACCAAGGCGGGGCACCTTCCCCGCCGCCCACCAGCCGCCGACGGAACGCCGACGGGACACCAACGGAGCACAACAGGACTCCACGGCAGGACACCCCCCTGGGCCACCGCGCTCCCACCGGGGGCGAAGAAGAGGCGGTCCACTGCATCCGAATCGCCGTAGCGACAGCGGGGTCACTCCTCTCGCGCGCCCACGCACCGTCGCCTCGCCCGCACGCACGACACGAACACGAAACGGAAACCGATGTCCCGGTGGGGGGCTCTCCGTTCCACTGCGGTCTGACCCCCCAGCCTCCGATCAAGTTTTTTGCCACGGCGAGCGCCCGGTGGAATGGTGACCGTCACGTCGGCCTGCGTCGCCAGAGACCGGCATAGGCTTGAGGCGTGCATCAAGACAGCAGCACCGAGTCTGATAGGGAGCCGCCCTCTACGGTCGGGAACACGTGCTAATCGTTTTTTTGTTTAAGAAAATTGAAAAAAAGTTATTTGAACAATAAAAATAAACTAAAAAAGTAAACATAATATATATATATACAGATTTTAAGGAACATGTGCTCATCGTGTGGCGGCGGCGGCCCTGGTGGCACGCCATGCGCTGCGAGCTGATAGCGCGTCGCCCCGCTCCGCGGGGTGGAAGGCCGGAAACAGAGCTCGGGACGTTGCTGCCCGGAAATGGGGTTGGCTCAGCGCGAGAACTCGATGTCAAAAAGTGTCCGAGCATTCTGCATTAAATCGTGTGCAATGTCCAGGGTCGATGCCCGAAAGCCCCTGCGACTCCATGTGCGAGAGCCAAATCTGGAACACGAGTCGTGTGTCATGTGCGCCACTGTTGGAAGATCTCAACGACCTGCTGGGACATAATATGCAAGGAGATCCATCCTCCATGTGGCAACTCGATATTTGGAGCTTCGGGGGCAGAATGTTTGAGGGACCCTCATGCGAAATTGCACTGTTGAAGCAAATGCCGCCGAACTATCAAAACGAATGTGCACGGCGCCAAGGCGAGAACGACACATGGAACCAGGCTACCCGGCTTTCATGCAGATCCTAGACACGGAGGCGGCGCCATAGCTTGAGCCCTCATGCGGAACCTCTCGTACTCAATGTCTGTCGACTCAGCGGCAGCTGCGATGCTGAAAGGCCGAAGCAATAATCCATAGATAAGCCCTTCGACGTATGAATGCCGAAGCGTGATCCCCTGGATATGCGATGACCCCATGGATGCGCCTGGTGCGGGGCATCCGCTCTAAGCTGCCATGCATCAAGTGGAGTCGGCGCCGACAGATCCCAAAACACCGAGGCATGGGCGCTGGATGCGACCGCCTCCCAATCCCTGAATCCAAACATGTCGACCTCTCGCTTTTACTTCCACCGCCTTCCGCTGGATGCCGCTGGCGCACCTGCCGCCACTTGCTCCTTCCTCCGCCTGCAGCCGAGGGCGAGGATGCGCTGGAAGTGAGGCCCCGGCTGGAGCCCACAATACGTTCCGCCCACGGCTGCAGCAGAGAACCAGTCCCGACTTCACATGATCTCCGCCGGGGCCAGAAGTATGTACAGTATGGCCCAACTCGATGATATCGTATGGGAAGCCGTCAATCTTGAATTGTGGTGCGTCCGAAGGTGTGGCCCCTGGCCCCTGGAGGTGTACCTGGGCCTTCCGTTGCCTTTCGAGACGGCCAACGGTTTGCCGGGCGATCTCGGAGACTGCAGGGCGCGACCTCGCCTGCGCTCAGGCTCGGCCCCCGCCGACACCGCGGAAATCCAGACCTCCTCCAGTATGCTGTTGTTTCGCCCCGCGGTCCCAGAGATCCCCAACCCTTCCCCGGGGGGAAGTCTTTAGAAGCCTCTTAGATGGGGTGCAAGTAGATGGGGTCGGAGCATCTCGCCGCATCGCCGATGCATCGCCGATGCATCGGAGATGCACTGGCGACTTCGGCGATGCATCGACAACCTCGGCGGGGAGAAAATTCGGCCCCACATCCAGCCGCATCGCCGACGCATCGTTGATGCACCGGCGACGCGGCGCGATCCTCGGACCCCATCTGCTCCGACACCGTCCAAGAGGCCTGGAGGCTTTCGTCCCGAATCCACGTTTCGGGTCGGGTGAAAGGGGGGGATAGCAAAGGGGGGGTCAGAGAATCAGCTCACGTAGCTGATTTTCCCGGCGCCGGAGGCGGCATATGTATCGAGGAACGGGCCCCTCGGTGAGGCCGACACCAGCTGCCTGCAGCAAATTTCGTACCCCCCCCCTTTCCCATTCTGCCCCCCCTTTCGTCCCGAATCCACGCTTGGCGGCCCCAGGCCCCGACAGCGAACCCGCGGAGCAGCACCCCGGTCGAAAGAAAAACGCCTCGCCAGAGGTCCGGATCCGCCCAGGAGAGAGGGGGCCGCAGCTCGTGGCCAGAGGCGCGCGCGCGAACGAGGGGGGGATCAGGAGACGTGTCGAACGAAGAGGGCGGGGCCAGGAAGTCCAGGGAGACAGCATGGCCATGCTATCCCCCCCCTCACGCCCTGGACATCAGCCCCCTCTCGTCGGGGGTTGCCAAAAAGGTGCCCCTCGTGGGAGCCCCTGGGGGCCCTCTGGGCCCCGTCAGGGGTGCTCTGGATGAGCATCATTTATCCGACCTCCACCCCCAGCGGCGTGGCCTGGGCCCCACTGGTCGATTTACCCCCCTAGATGGGGATATATGCCGTCCCTTCCGGGTTTCGAAGGGTGTATCCCCAACTGGGGGGTGACTTGGTGGGGGTCTCGAAGGATGGGGATGGGGACCGGTATTCAACGATACTGACTCTGACTGGAGGCACCCTGGGCCAGGTGCATTCTTAGCGGCATCCGATCCTGGCCCGCGAAAGCAGCCGAACGCCTGGCACGCGCCGCCAGGCGACCAGAGGCCCGGCGGCCGCTATGGGCGATCGCGCATGCCGCCGCTGCTGGGCGACCGAGGGCGGCGCGGTCGGAGGGCCGCCGCGGAGCTCGGCACGGAGGAAGCCCAGACATGATCGCGTCGTGGCAAAATCTGGACGGCGAATGTTTCGTTATTTTCGATCCCTGGGAGCCCTCGCCGGCCCCCGGGACCGTCAAGGAACGGCTCCAGGACGAGAAGCAAGTCCCAGGCTGATATCGGTCGGCGCTCTTGCGCCATATACAGTTATACAAATATACGTGTATTCGCTTAACGGCTGATCAGGTAGCGTTGTACACCCGCAAGTAGCGTCGCACTCGCTCAGATGATGATGTAATCGCATAGGTTGGAGAGCTTAGTCGCAGGCGGCCCAACTAACCTAGCGCGCATCTTGGGCGCATTCTGCACTTCGGCTATTTGTAACTTCTGACGCTGCCGATATTTATCGGAATTACCATCTCACTTATGCACGACTTATCCTACTTATGGGACTTACTATGTAGCCCCAAAAATGCTCAGCGGGGGTTGCCTCACCCCCATATTCCAATCTCCCGTCGTCCTCGTCGTCGTCCTCGTCGTCGTCGTCGTCGTCGCCGTCCTCGTCGTCGTCGTCTTCGTTGTCGTCGTCGTTGTCGTCGTCGGTTTCAGAGGCGCCGCTTCTGGTCGTCGGCGTCGTCGTCGTCGCTTTGTTTCAGCGGAAGCGCCGCTTCTGGTCGTCGGCGTTCGCTTCAGCGGAAGCGCCGCTGACCTGGTCGTCGTCGTCGTCGTCGTCGCGTTCGTCGTTCGCATCCCCGCTTGACGTTTTCAAAGCTCGGGCTGGGGAGGGGGGGAGGAGGAGGTGGAGGGGGGGGGCAAGGAAGGAGGAGGAGGGGGAGGAGGAGGTGGAG